CTATAGTTGTTAGTCATAAATAGTCTTTTTTTTTGGTGGCTGTTGCAGCAGCAGTTAATAAAGTGTATCTTGTAATTAATTAAACTTGTGGTTTGGTAGGAAGTTTTGCAGGCAAAACAACTGCAATGCACTCAATAATTTGTTGATTAGTAAATGGAATTTCGTAAATTGCTCTACAATTTCAGAATTTCATTGGTGTGAAATAACTCGTAGATACATATTTGTATGAAATAGCATAAAAGTAAGGGTATTTAAATAAATATATGTACGCATATATGTACATATGTTAATGATCTATATTTGCATAGCGATTGAGTTTTTACTGTAATAGTAGCGTTTTCTAAATGTTCAATATGACACAATGATTTTGTAGATCCATCACTATGTTGATACACCGTTTTTAATTACATTTTTATACATACATATATAATTTAACAGATATTTCCTTAAATTATTATTTAACTATGTTTATTTAAAGAACCCAAATCCACAACATACAGTCAATCTATTTTAAGCACCCTGTTCAAGAATTTAAATCTCGCTGTTGACAAAGTGCTGTTTTGTCATGTAGATATTTCGTTAAAATTTACTGAAACATACATATGTTAGATGTAGTGAACTATTCCTATCGAGAATACCACTGTTTTTGTGTTTAGACTGTAGACAGACAAAAACCAGCTAAATTAAATAATAATTTCAAATGTCACATTGAATTGATTCTAAAATATTTACAAATATTTTATTTGATTTGTTTTTTTTGTCTTCGCTCTTCGCTCAATGCTAAAAATATTTCCTTTTAAGATATTTATCAAATTTGCAAAAAGTATGCACATTTTTTTTCATTTGTACATTTTTTACTTAGATTTCAGTTTAGTTTAGTTTATTTTTAGTGAGTCAAGCCAATTCATTGTATTTTACGCGCTCACTTGACAAGTGACAACTTGACTGCACAAAATTGACAAAATTATCTGAAAAATTTTTTCAAATACAAAAACAATCGTACAAACGCCAAGAAGAACAACAACGAGTTCAAAATGTTAAAAAAAGAAGATGCTTCTACGAGAAGAAAGAAATTTTTGAAATTATGAAATGTCATAATCACACAGTCACGAATGCACACAAACATATTCTTGAACACACATGCATACCAATGTACTTAAAATCTAGATACTGTGTTTTTGCGGGTATGCAAATGAGAATCTGTTTATTAGGGCAGTATCATGACTGTCAGTAAAATTGACTAGAAGATTTACATACATATGTATATGGAGCTATGAAATTCAGCTATGGATTATTGCCTTCTCGTTATAAACATACCTATACATATATAAATTTCAAAGGCTTCAACATAAGACTTTTAGAATAATAACTAATATGTATGATTTTACTGCTATACTGTCTCATATATTATGAGTTGAAAGGTTACTTATAAAATTGCTATGTAATTATTTTGGAGAAAATTACATATAGGACTCGTAACTTCGGTCGCATTGTGTTAAAAAATATGGTCTTATTGTATGTTCTTGTTAAACCGGGTCAATACAAGTTAGAGTGTTATATTCGGCTATGCCGAATCTTATATATCCACCATCTAATCGTATGCCGTATATTTGTAATAGGGCTTAAGTCAATTATGGACGTGCTCTTCCGAATTAACAAAACATTAATTTTTAAAAACAAAACATTTTTCGGTCAGTTTGGTCAGTTATAGACCAATCCTTATAAAATTCTGAATGAAGAATTATAATAAAAAACTTTTTTATGCCGAGTACAACGATGAAGTACTCGTAATTTTCTCATAGTGGTTTTATATATGAGGGGTAAGTTTAATTATGGACCGATCCTTATAAAATTTTGTTCAGCGATTTTCATTAATACAAAACTTGTTTATGTCCAAATTTATTACTATACTAGTATTTTGAAGCCAGTAATGAACTTTAAAGTAATTTTCTGAAGGGGAAGTTATACGGACCGATCCCCATAAAATTTGGTGGAGAGTTTTGGCTCATATAAAACTTATTTATGTCGAATTTCATTGCTATACTAGTAATTTTAAAACAGTTATGAATGTTAAAGCTGTTTTCGGGCGGTCACATGTTTGGGAGCTATGCGAAATCGTGAACCAATATTGCCCATTTGCGATACCAAAGAAACCTTACCTATGAGGAATATTTGTGGAAAATTTTAGCTCTCTAGCACTTTCCGTTCGAACCCCATCCTGCTTTCAACAGACAAAATATATATATTTTTGTAGGTCTACAACGAATATTTCAATGTGTTACAAAATAACCCCCATCTTTTTTGATGGTGGGTATAAAAAGGGTTGTATGTCGGATCATCGGAATATGAATAAGAGTATTTTTATATATGAGTTTATTTTGAATTTTTCAATTTTATTGGAAAAACAGGACATTATTGTCCTGAAAAGCGATTTTAAATTTAATTTAACATTTTAGAAATTGAAACGCAACGTGGAGCAATAATTTATTGTAAACAATTCATTTATTTTTTTTTGAATCAAATGCAATATATATATATGAAGTCCATCCTTTATCTTGATATGGATAATAAAAACCAAAATTCAGTTGCGTCTTCCAAACCTAGCTGAAACAACATCTGGTATAATAAAAATGCGTTAAGGAAATGAGTGCGAAGAATGTGCATTCGGAATGGGGAATGCATTATGAAAAATCGAGGAGTTTGATTAAGATTATTTGAATACAGTGGAAACTCTAAATGAATTTGCGAGCACTAAGAATGATAATGAGGTTCAATTTCGTAATGAATGAGCCGGTTGTAAGAGAAATGGACACCTATTTTCGGAGCAGAGCTTTTTTAACATTCTTCCTATTGGAGCAAACCTTTATCATGGGTTGAACTAGAATTGTTGAAGTTCGGTGAGCAATATCTTGACTTAAACAAAAAATTAAAGAAGTTACTAACCCTTAAAAATAATGAATTTGGAATATTAACGTGACTCGCGAACTTATCAGTAAGGTTTTGACCTCTCACCGGTTAGGAATGTAAGTTTTCTACGTAAACTCAGTATATGATGGACTAAAGAATTGCAAAAATATTAAATTCAGATCGTAGTGTATAGTGACTTCTTGAATTTCATTATGATAAGGAGGTTTCTTTGCCCCAAGATATATTTCAACCTCTTACCGATTAGGACTGCAAGTTTCCTATGTGATCTTAGTATATTATTGACTACAGAAGTGCAAAAAAGTTCAGATTGTCGTACTTAATGAATTCTAAATTTAATATGTATATCAAATAAAACATTAAAATATATGATATATGAGCCACCCTAATTTTCTACACAGCCCAAACGAAGAAGACAGACATTTAGGTTCAAAACGACAAGCATTTATATTTTTAGGTGACATACCCTCTGTTGGACGTCTGATGGTTAGTTGAAATATCTTAGCTTGTCAATCAATGTGGGTATTTTTTTTTTTATTTCATATTTTGAAGTCATCATCTCTGCTTCATAATTTTTATTTTCTTTCTCTTCGGTTTGATTCAAGGTACAAAAAAGTCACTTCTGAACTGGTTATTAGAAGTTCGCATTTAGTGGTTTTAATAATTTGATAGAAATCTTTAGATTAATAAACTGGTATTAAAGAACTTATTCAAATCGTAATACATTTATTTGCTCTCACTCTTTGCTGATTAAAATTAAAAGTTATTTTAACAATAATTTTGATTGTCCAACAGTACAATTAATCTTCTCAGTTGATTTTAAAGTTTAATTTCATTGTTGTTTTTCTTTAAATCTGACTCATTGTATATAACAATATAAATCTTTTTGTAGCATTGTTTGTCTTGTATTAAATTAAGCTGATTTAAGCTTTTCTTATCTAGATTATTTAGTTTATTATTTCTTTATTGTGATATTGAGATGGTTGCCAGCAACATAAGGTGGGACACGAGTCAAATATTCTGAGAAGAAGGTGTATGTAGTATATCAATGAAATGCACTTTTGTCTTGCATGTTCTTAAATCCAAATATTTGTGAAGAAGTAAAATGGCTGTTAAGGTAGTGCTTACAAGTATTTAATTTTAGCACGCAACCTGTTTTTAACACTGCAATTAAATGTTTAATTGATTAGTTGCTAAAACCAACACATATTTAATTACTTAGCAAAATAATTATTTGAAAAAGATTTTATTCATTTCAAAACATGAGAAATCTTATATATAGTCTAAAGATGTTAAATCTTACGTCCATTCTTCTTTTTTGACGGTTTTTAGTATGTTTATGTATACTTAACGAGCATTTTTAATAATTTACGCATTTGATGCAAATTATTCAGTAAATAGAATTTACGGACGTTTCAAATTATGGAAGAATTGAGAAGCCACTTCTGTTCAAGAAATGTCAAGAAGAAAATACCTCGTTTTAAATAAAACCCCTTTACATATACTATATACCCAGCAAAAACTTACATTGAAAAGTGTTTAAAATGCTAAAACTTACTTACTAAATAGCATTTTAAGTCATTATTTAAACACGGGGATGACATTGAAGGCAAATACTTATCACGCTCGGTTACAAACAGGGAGTTATGTGAGTACTTACTCCGATCGCCTGCAAATAGGGAGTTTTAAGTAAGTAGTTTTGTTTCCGAGAATAAATTACCTAGCATAAATGATTTTTTTCGTTTGTGTTAAAACAAAGTTCGAAAACAATATAACAAGGTCGAAAAGTAAGTACTTAAATAATATATTATTTGTAAGTCATAACTAGACTCCTTCTAAATAATGCTGACAGTATGCAGCAGTCATTGAAAAGTAAGTTGTTGAGTAAGTACAAGACATTACTATGTTTTTCTGGGTATATATCGGCTTGAGAAGCAATATAAATCGTATTATTGACATAATATTTTTTCAGTGAAGACATATCAAAGTTTTCATTATATTTAAATTTCTCTGTGGTTTAAAATGCAGTTAAACTCCAAATTGTCCCTTTTTCTAAAAAATCTAATCTTACTAACCTTGTGGTTTCGGTACATTTCTCTTCAATTGCATCCACTTGTAGGTGGGCAAATTATTGCCATGACTTGGAGATTTGGCTTGCGTTGTATTATTGTTATTGGAATTTCCCCCATTCGAACCCGACGTACTGGTCACAGATGATGTAGATGCCGTGGAAGTGGTGGTGGTGCCACCAGGTGATACTACATTTTGTGATCGTGAATTTTGATTGACACAAGTCATGTTGGGTGGTGATTGGTGTTGTGGCAATGATTGCTGTTGGCCAACCAAAGGTGGGTTGCCCTGACTGTGGGCTGTTAAATGTTGGGGCATACTGTGAGGGTGTAAGTGGGGATTCATATTATATGAATCCATAGGTAGACTGCTGGAGTCCAATGCGTTGGCATAGGTAGCATTCATATGATGTTGATGAGACCATAATTGCGGAGAGTGCTGTTGATTTTGTGTATTATTCGCACTGGCAGTCAAATGCATTAGTGTGTCATCCATATTGTATTGTGAATGTAAAACTGAAGCGTATTTCTCTTCAGCTGGCAGGTAGGTGCTTGGATTGGAATGCTGATGATGGGGAGAGTTTTGATTGTACAAACAATCCAAGTTGGTGTAGCTTAAACCATTTTCCGAACTAATAATGGCTGGATCCATAGGAACATTTTGAGCAGCATTGGCAGCAGTAACGGGAGAACTATTAGTGGCTGGTGGAACTGTGGCCACAGCAGCAGTAGCGTAATAAGCATGTACTGAGTCATTTTCATAGTAAACCGCTTCGCTGGGCGAGTGACTGGTATTGGAGGGATGTGAAGGTGTAGCAGCGGCCAAGGTATTGGAAGTGGTAATACCATATTCAGCTGCGGTAGGACTAAACAAATGTGAATGAGAATGGGAATATAATGGCTGTCCCTGGACCGATGGTTGACTGGGAGGTGGTGTTAGTTGTTGGGGCTGTTGTTGTTGCTGGTGTTGTTGTTGCTGTTGTTGATAGTAGTTTGGCGACGATCCATCATAAGCGGTGTAGCCACTATTTAGATGATGATTTTGCTGATGATGTAAAGCCCCATGTGTCATGACCGATGAGTTTGGAAAATATGCATTGGGGTACGCATTGGCAGCAGCAACAGTGGTCATGTCTGGCACACCAGCAGCTCCAGTGTGATAAGTATTAGAATGATGAGGATGATGATTGCCGTACATGCTGCTAATGTCCATCATTTTTGCGTTACAATACCGGGTATTTCGTTTAATAACCGGTTACAGGTTATTAATTTGCCTTTTTTTTCTGGATCACAGTATACACAAAAACACTTTTTGTTTTAAGTAATTTCAAAATTTTATATTGCTTATTTATTTTTTTTCTATAATTTTTATCAATTCTTATCACCTTTTTTTGTCGTTCAAAAATTTTGATTATTTTGTTTTCACTATTGATTGATTTATGTTTGATTATTGCTAATAATAATACATGTTTTAATTAAATTGGCACATATTTTATTTTTTATATTAAACGGGTGAATTTGTATTCGTTTTGTAACCAAAATATCCACAGGTTTTCGGTTACAAAATATATTTAAATTAAATTTTTGTATTCTAAACCACTTCAAAACTCCGTCGCTTTTAACTTTTTATTGCGTTTTTTCGTATTGTTTTCTAATGTTGTTTTTATTTTAGATCGTATTAAATCTAAAAACAATCATTTAATTTATTCAATAATATTTCTTTTCAAATGAAAAATTCTAACGAGTGCGCACAAAAACAAGTCATTCCCGCGTGAAACCAATTCACAACTGATTCACAAGTACAACTACCCGTATACGGCATAGCCAGCACACCATGTCTGTCTGCTGCCTGTCAGTGTCAGTAAACAACCACCACTACACCAACAACAACGATAACAACTCGTTCCTGCACAATGTTATCTTGTGGACTTAATAACATGAAACTCCGCCTTCTACTTGTATCACACTGGTTGTTTCAGTCAGTTGAATGCCCAACACTGGAATTGTTGTGATATTTTGTCTCGTTTTCGTTAAATGTTCCTTCATTTTATCTTGTCCAAATGTTTTTTTATTTCGATGTATGCGCCAGGTATTAGTCACTTTTTCATTCATTAATACTTGTTTGTCCATAGTCGTCGTAAAATATACAAAGAGGGTAATTGATACCGCTTGGAACTAGAATTGGGGCTTGCTACAAAATAAATGTATGTATACAACATAAGGTCCGAAGAAATACAAATAGGGCACTTGTGCGCTTCCTTACATGAAAAATGTTGACGGAAAAAGCCTTATATAGTGCTCTATTAAGGCGTTATCGTCCGATGTTCCAAAATTCCGTTTATTGGAAGTACTTCCTTAGAGTTTTCCAATCTTTGTAATTTATCGACGTTTTGTGCTAGCAATGGATGAGAGGATTAATAGATATACATTTCTTTCCGATTTTATGGAGCATTAAACTGTATAAAAGTAATATTCGAGTAAGTCCGTTTTATCTTACCCAGTTTATTCAAAATAAAGGGCTGCACTATTGTTGTCTTGTGCACGCCTTTAATTCAAAAGATGGATGAAAAAATAAAAAGGGGTTTTAGTCATGCGATATCATATAATTCGCAATTTGTTGTTTAGGATATGAGTTTTTTTTTAAATTTTACTTTATGATATTCCAGAGTCCTTGGAATAACCTAACTAATATCATTTATATATATGTATGTACTTCTCATTAGGCAAATTAACCAAGGGCCGATATATGTCACACCATTAGTATATATTGGAATGTTATTTAAAAACATCACACTTACCCGATCGAATATCAGTAACAGAAAAAGTCAGAAATTGTGACACATTGATCCCAAAATGAGAATCATCGTCTAGTTGATACATGAAATCAAAATCATCGTCCTATGGAACATTAGAGGTAACACCCATGTGCATCAGTTGATACATGGACGGCGCTAAGCTGGGAGAAAGAATGGGAATATGCATTGAAAAGATCAGATCACAACGTAGGCTCCCAGGCGGAAATCCGTGATATTTCTAAATGTTTGATTAAATATGGAGCAAGCTGACATACATACATATATAACATATATTCAGAGAGCCAAAAGACAACAAAATCATAATCAACCCAAAATTTTAAGTCTAAGACAGTATTAGAGCGAAATCATTCAACGATGATTTAAAATCATCGTTGGTAGGACCACAAAAAGGAGAAAGAGGAGTCTCCTTAGTGGAAACAATTCCGAGATTAGTCTGAATTTTAGAACATTTTCTCTTTGAAATTAGATCCAAATACTTTGCGAGCTATAACATCGCTGATATAATATTCCTAAGGTACATTGATTGGAAAAATTTAAGTAATTACGTCCAGGAGACAAAATTGTGGTTTTCACTTCCACTTTAAGAGTGCTTTAGTCATTTTGACATTAACTTAGATCCCTAATTCACCATGTATTTTAATAATAGTTGATAGTTCTATTAATTTAACGCCTTGTAGTGTAAAACTTTGCTCTCTTTTAGTTTCAGATTTTACCACCTGAAAAAATTTGATATAAAGAAAAGGAATTTTTAGCGAAGCCGGTGTTTGAAAGGAAAAAGTTCCTGCGTCCGGATAAAGGCCTGCTGTTCAGGATCAAACCATACAAACTGGTTTTTATGGTTTGTTCTCTCATTTCAATTTCCAAACATAATAAATTTAAACTTTTTGTCCCTTCATATTGTTACGCCTCTGATGTTTAACCAAATACCATGGATTTTTTTTGTTATTTAAAGTTATTTATAATTTTACTTTTTTACCTTTCAAAAGTTACGCCCTCTTATATGATTCTTTTATGAATATACCATACATATAGATTTACATATATATGCGTTATTGTGGCTGTGTGTATATTTTTGCGAATTTGGTTTTGCAAATCTATTGCAACGTCAACAATAAAAGCGACAAATGCCACATGCTCCCTCTAGTATCTGCTTGTAAAACTGTCAGTAGTTTTTATTTTTACATTTTATGTTTATATTCATAATTTTGTTGTTGTTGTAGTTTTCAATGTTTTGTGGTCACGAATTCGAAATTCTTTCGAAGTTTAATTCCCTATGGAGAGAGTTTACACACAAATAAACGAGTATAATATAAAAGTAGGAATTTAGATACACCTTTATTCAACTGTTTTCCAGTACGTCCATTTATCTGACTGTCAGTTTATCCATACATTCGTCTGTCCGTATGTCTGTCCATTTATTATGTTTATTTTCTGAGTAACGACGACTACTTGTAGTTTATGCTGTCATATGCAGTTTACTCATGTGACAGCTTTACTTACAATTTGCAAATGTTGTAAGTGTAATGTACATGTAGTGAATAGTGAGTGCCAGAGAGAGAATGGATGAATGCAATCGTCAGTCGCTTGCACAAATAATAAAACACAGTGGGTTGCATTGTTGGATACATTCATTATATTTATGTATGCTTTGCATCAGGCTGAATAGATTGTATGACACTTCGATGGAATGGAATGTTTTATGTAGGTGCAGTCTTAGGAACATAAAGATGTCATGAAATTGACAGTTGTTTTTAAGCCGCAATTACATATTTACATGGATATGTGTATTTACGTGGTCAATCTGAATATAACATCTGAAATGTGTTTGAGTTAACTATTTCTCATAATATTACTTCCTTGCAACGAAATTACGCTAATTATAGATATTTAATAAATGTATATAGAATTACTCCTACATACATACATAAGTAAAAGAAAGTTAGACAAATATGTTCAGACAGATATCTATAAGAAAATATCACGACAGCAATAAGTAAATTTCTTCTCGATAACTCAGATCAGATAGTCATATCATATATTACACCATATTTGGTACTAGCTATCAAAATCTGCAAAACAAGTGAATGGAAGCAGATGACATATTACTCGTCTTAGGAAATTTTTATGTTTCAGACTGTCTGGTCAGGCAGTGTCACCCTTTTTAAGATCTCTGGCATTATATAGAGTTACACGGCTTGTATAAATAGTAAAGGGAAGTAAATACGAATCATTCAAAACTGAAGCTACCGGAGGCTAACAAAGCATTATGATTGAATATGGAAATAAAAAGCTGATGAACTAGCCAAAACCGATTTTCTCTTTCCAGAATTTGTAATTGAAGTATCGTTTTCAATCTTGAAATAATGGGTCTCTTCAGTGAATTCAATCCTTAACCATTTCAAGGCTAAGTTGCGCAGTTTAAGACGTCGGTAGTTCAAAGGCCTCAGTTATCTTGATGATCTTTCCTCATCTTGGTGTTATTGCAATCCGGGGTAAAGTTATTAGAGGTGGCTGTGGTTTAAACCCAAATTCTATACACATAATTTCGGTGCTGTTGCCGAGACAATAGATACCCAATAGAGGAGTGACTATGGAACTAATCGGGGATGATACGGGGTGGATGTAGGGGTATTCGGGCCTCACCAATACGTATACTTAGAGTGTGTCGGATATTTTTTTCAGTGAGTGTGTCGAATGAATGAGATGTATGCTGGGTTAAATAGTAATGGATGGATCTTATACAAATGATACCATTGAGTTTTCCTTCCTTGTCAGGGTACATCAGGGTTTACTCTGTTTATTTTATGGACTCAAATTAGTCATATTTGAGTCGAATTTTGTGAGGGCTAGTGAAAATCATGGCCAGATGTCTAATATTTTTATAAAAAAACTTCATTGATTTACTTCCAAATCGGGAGTTATAGAATGAACGCATTTTTCTACTATGGATATTAAAATAAATTTTCAGATGGCTTTCCTATATACTATAAATACATACACATACATATGTATGTATGTTTATTTAATTCCTTTACTAATATTCACATATCTTTTCTTTTCCTGTGGAGACAACAATTTTGATTGACACTTTCACAATAGTTTTGTTACTGACCCATTCCTTAAGATACTTAAATGCCATCCATCCTTATTCTTTTTTGTTCACATATGTACGTGTGTTCATCCTTTTTATTTGTGTGTTTGTATTGCTCTTCGTATGGTGTTTTACTTTTTTTACATATTTTTATATCTTATTTATTTGTAGTTTTTCTTTTTCAAAATTATTTCATTTCCATTAAAAACTAAATTATTTCTTTTATTTTTTGTTTGGTTGTTGTAGTTTTTTCTCTATCATTTGTGTTGGGTTAGCATGGTTGGTGATCTATTACTTTTTTGGACAGCACCAATTAATAGCAACATGATGTTGTTTGTTTGTCTACATTATACATACGTATGTATTATTGTATATAGTACACACATATTTTGAATATTTTGTTGTTGGTGTTGTGTTTCTATTATATATCTTAATAATTTGGCAAATGAACAACAGAAATACAACAAAATAAAAAGTTATGTCTTTGTTTGAATCTAAACCACCCTAAACAATAGATAAGGAATATTTCAATAGGTACGTTTATTATTGCGAAATTTGTGAACATATAATTTTATCTACCAAAGATGTGCAATAGAGTGTCCCGAGGAACGGCCTTTTTAAGAATTTCATGTATGAAAACCTCTTAATCGATGCGTATTAATGTACTGAACATGAGAAAAATAAAAAAATATTTTTTTTCGAATGGTCCTCAGTTCCCTACCAGCGATTGAAAATCCTGACCTCAGCATAATTTGTGAAAAATAAAATATTTTCGATTTTTTTGAGATGGGTCACAAAAATTCCGTGATTTTAAGCTGTTTACGGCAAAAATTATTTTAAAATTTTTATAGAGTATTTT